ACTCTTCTTTTACACACGTAACGTGTAACGCTTTAAATATAGTATCTTATTCCTTATACGCCTCTAGTATTTACGCTTCTAACTTCTTCTTCTTAGTAACTAACTATAAAAACTTATTTTAAGTAATAGACACATTATATTTTAACCCCTATCTCTAACATTTACTATACTTCCCTAAACTAATATAGACCTTACACACACGAGAGTACGCTTAATAGAAGGAATATTTAGATACTATAATAGCACTATAATTCTTAATGGTAAAAATGAGGTCGCGACGACGCTTAGTAGTATAATAGTTAGTAGGCATGATTCTTTAGGATAAAGAATAGAAAGGAAGGGGATAATGTTATAAACCAAAAGATAGAGGGGTGAGGTGGGGCGCTTATAAAGGTATAAGGATGTAGTGGTAGGGTTACGACAAGATAAAGAGTAGCCAAGCCACTTAGATAGTAGTCATATAATCTACTTAGCTACTTAGGAGCCCTAAGCAGCCAAGTAAGCCAAGATAGGTTACGTGACCTACTTAGCTACTTAGGAGCCCTAAGCAGCCGAGTAGGCAAGTATATAGGAACTTAAGTATGAACCTTTATACTCGTGTTTAACCTATTTATTAATCTATTGTTTGGATTACACTTAGGCTATATTATTAATTCGTTATATCCTCCTCCAATACTATCGTCTTAATAAAACCCCTTCCCTTCCCTTAGTTGTCTTGCCCGAGAACCAACCCTAACCCTTTAGGACTAGCTACCCTTCTAGATTTAACAATAATAGTATATAGAGATGATGAATTACTATAGTAATCTATTATTATTAATCCACGATATAGTTACTACATCTAGTTTCATTATAGGAAAGATTACTTATAATATTTTGGCAACACAACCTTACTATAGTTAATTAACCATTACTCTAACGCGACCATACCGCTTCCTAAAGCCCTCATTTCTCACTAGAACCCCTTTCAAGAATAGCTTAGCCCAAAGCCAAGTAACTCCCGTTATAGTGAGGATGGATACCTATACTCGTGTTTAATCTATTTATTAATCTATTATTTGGATTACACTTAGGCCATATTATTAACTCGTTATATCTCCTCTAATACTATCATCTCGATGAAACCCCATTCCTTCCCTTAGTTGTCTTGCCCAAGAACTAACCCTAACCCTTTAGGACTAGCTACCCTTCTGGATTTAACATCTAGTAAGGTTTATTTTAGCGGACGATCACTAATATATTTTACCTGTAATAATTATCCTACTAGACGTTTAAAACTAAAACATATCGCCGATTACACTTCGTTTTTAAAACGGCATTAACTATCGGAGCCACTACCGGAGCAACCAAACAAGCCCCAATTAGGTAGTAGACGGGTCGCCCGTATACTATTCTCTTGGCTGGCTGCCAGCACGCGATACCTCTAAGATAGACTACTTCCAGCAGTATATCCATCCTTGTCAGGTAGCCTGGGGTTACCGTGACACCCTTCCTTTATCACTCATTAGTTGATAAACCAAGTCACGATTAACCTGATTTAAGCACGTATCTTAGGGACTTCCATAATGTTTTAGCATCACAAATCTATACGTGGCCTCATGGTAATTATCGTAGTGCCTAGGGAAACATCAAATGCAACTTCAGCTATGGAAATCTGTGCTCAATGTTCTTCTCTTCGCTAAAGATGATGTCCCACGCAACTTCAAGCGCCATCCTGCTAAAAGCGGTATCTGGATGGGATGGTTTTACCATCCAAACGCTCTTTGCCTTCTTGGCCTTCTCCCATCCGGACATGTCTACCTCAGCACCCATTGGTAATCCCCACCCTTCATTTCCATTGTTAGTGCTGGGCTCGCCTTTGGTCCCTTGGATGTCGCTGTTGGCGCCACGATCCTCCATGCCCAAGCCATCCACGTAGTGCCACTGTGCCATGACGGTTGGGATCGTGGTATAGGCCACGAGCTCTCCGTCGGCGATCATGTCCTTTATAATCAAGTCCACTTGCACATTGAAATCAAACGCTGTCCGTAAGAGTAGCTTGGCGGCCCCTCGCTGGGTGATAGCGTAAGCAGTTGTGCAGACGAATCCGCCGGACTGATGGACGACGCGCTCTTTCCCGAGTTTCTGTCCAAAATAATCCTTGCCCTCCGGAACGTACGGGTCCTTATACTTGAGGTAGGATGTTGGGGACTTTTGCTGATCGAAACAATTGCCCAGGGAGAGGATATCCCAGTGGTCAGAGTGCCATGGATCGTCTGGATTTTCCCTGAGAACGCTTTCTACCTGGACGTTCTGATGGCCTTTTTTGTCATCCGTCTCCACCATATTATCTTCAACACCATGCGTGTATATGGGTTTCGAGCCGAGCTGATGGAGAAGCCCAGTGAATTGCTCATTAAGAAGCGCCATTATGCGTCGAACGTCAATATCCCAGGCCGCATCCGATTCGATGATTAGAGTAGGTGGAAGCTTTTTCTCAACTATTTCAGACCATATCTGTAAAGGGAAAATTTTAGTGCTGTTTCCGCGGCTCACTAATTAGACAATAAAATAAACTCACATTTGCATGTGCCCTCCAGCAACCTTTCTCCCCTGGCTTCAGATCCTGCGGGTTACTGGACGGAGGCATACCGACTGAATTAATCTCGCTTGGGAGGACAGCAGGTTGCTCTGTTACGTCAAGCCCGGAAAGGTAGGCCTGTAGTCTGACAGCATCGAGGCGATCGAAACGAGTGGGAATGTTAATGAACTTGATCGAGTGGAAGCCTAATGTACGATTCCCTGCTGCAGTTCGTGTTAAAATTTCAATCGCTCTTATTCCTAACAACTGCCGTGCGTGAGATAATGGGGCGAGAAGCGAGGTGTGGAAATTGGCTAAAACAAGAAGTAAAACTACAACGAGGCAGAGAAAGGTTCGAATTTTTCTTCGTTGGCCATTCATCGTGGGAGCAAACTATGTCATAATAGAGTTTAAGGAATGAAATCGTGTTATTGAGGGAAGTTGGTAAGATTATACCTTAGCTCTACTATGCAAGCAATGCGAGACACGCTATCTAGCTACCCCTAGATTCCAGCCACCCCTAGATTCCGGCCACCCCTAGATTCCATTTACCCCTAGATTCCGGCCACCCTACCAAAGTGCATTACCTACACTTAAATCGCGATACCTCTAAATACTTTATTATCGTTCATAACGAATAAAGTGAGGAATTAACTATTATATATAGTGTTAGGATCCGCTCGTATGTAATGTAGGGTATCGGCTTATTATATTCCTAAACTACTAAGCCGCACTAGTCGCCAAGGACATTACGTGATAAGTTATAAGTCGTAAGGATCCTAGAACCATATAGGCCATAATCCCGCATGGGACTCTAGGATATATAGGACTCTAGGATAATGTCACGAGAGTAACGAGTAGGGACGTCTGTGGCCTAGTAGAAGGCTGCAGATTGATATTACTGCGTTCGGTATCTACGTGTATATACAAGACTGTCACGAGAGCAACGAGTAGAGACGTCTGCGGTCTAGTAGTAGGCTGCAGATGGATATTACTACGTTCGGTATCTACGTGTATGTACAAGACGTTGGATAAGGAGAGAAGGTCCTCTTCCCCTTAGCCAACGTGGATCTGTCATCTCGCTTCATCGCGTGCCCTTACCAAGGGTAGCTAGCGCCATGGTTCGACCTCAGCTAGGGGACGGGTCACCCGTATGCTGTGTTCTATTGGCTGGTCGTCAACGCGCGATATCTCTGAGATATACTGCTGCCAGTAGTATATCCATTCTTCTCAGGTAGCCTGGGATTACCGTGATAGATAAATAGGATTCTAGAATTTATAGAACTCTAGGATACAGAGGACTTAAGAGTAACGTGTTTTATAAGCGAGCGGCGCGTATAAGCGAGTGGCGCATATAAGTGAATGGTGCATCCCACCAACTTTACGCACCTCTATAGATATATATCTTAACAACCTTAACGTAAACTTAAATATTATAAACCTAATTAATGTCATGGTAATCATAGGTTAC